TGTTACAGTTTCCTCAAGAGGTTATGGAGACAGATGTACATACATGCATACATACATACTGTACATACATACATACATACATACATAGATGGTTTTTTATTATTTCATTTATTTCATTTACCTTTTCTGTTTCTTCTTCCTCCTGTTCTGACTTTTGTTTTTCCTCATCTTTTTATTTTGATTTGTTTTTATTTTATAGTTTTTTTTGTCGTATTTTCTTCTTTTTCTTATGTAGTTTATTTTCCATTTTATGATACTTTCTGTGGTTGTTATTTTTAATGATTAAATGTTATCACAATAATGATAATACAAGTAAGAATACAAATATCCTGTTAAAAAATCATTATTATTATTTCTATTATTAGTCAGCATCATCATCATTATTATTATTATTACCTGTTTTAATCATCATCATCATCATAATTTATTCTGTCTTTACTATATTTTATTAGGAAAGTACAAATAATAAAAAAAAACAATATAGTCAATATTTACTTTATTGAAAAGCTCTTTATTCCAGAGTAAAATTTACATTGATATGGCTGAAGAGGAAAAAATGATAAAAAATAATTGTAAAAAAACACAAATTTACAGAATATATTTACATAAGATCTCGCCTCCATGATTTATTTTTTTTACTGTGATATTTGCCGTTTACATCTCGGCACTGTGATTATTTACATATTTTACCGTGTAGATGATGGGTTTCTTGATATGGAGGGGAGGAGGTGGAGAAGATGGGAATGAGTGAGTGTAGAGGAGAGATGAATATGGGTATGAATGAATGAGAGGAGAAAGAAGAGAAGGAGAAGAACTAGACATATAAATGAGTGAGAGAGAGGGGGAGCTAGAGAGAGAGAGAGAGAGAGAGAGAGATAGAGAGAGAGAGAGGGAGAGAGAGAGAGAGGGAGGGGGATTGATATATGTCGTTGCCAAACCCTGTAGTAACTATGTAAACAAAGTCTACTAATTACAAAAAAATGACTAACATTCATTCATCCTTCCTTAGGCTGTGGCGAAGGTTTGGCAACACTGGTTAAAGCACAAATGGAATATCTTTTAAATTATCATTTTATTTTTTTGCTAATTTTTTCTCTTGTGTATATATATATAATCTTACCAAGAATCACTTTATACAAAATATATACAAGTAGAGACGTATACACTCGCACACATACATTCATACATACATAACATACACACACACACTCATGCACATATACATACTCAGGCACGCACATGTATATATACTGTATATATATATAGATATAGTATAGCAAAAATAAAAAATGTTCAATATAAATTACTCAAAGAATTAATTTCTCTCCTATCAGAAAGACTTTTTTTTTCCTTTTAAATATTTATAGAAATACCCTTGAAGCGATAGTCTATAATTTGTCTCGGAGAGTGAGAGAGTCGTACTTGAGGAGGCTGAAGGTCGACCTCCACCTTCATCCCCTCCTCCTCCTTCCTTCCCTTCTTCTTCACCACCTCCTCCTTCCCCCCCCCTCTCTCACCTCCTCCTCGTGCTTATGACGGTAAATGTGAATAATGTGAATAAAACGCAATAATTAGAATAAGGATGATAACAAAATTCTTCATTGGCGTGTCTGGGTGGTGGAGGGTGAAGACGAGGCATGGAATGTATGTTGATAAAAAGAAGTGAAAGAAATAATAGGAAGGGAAGAAGATATAGGAGGCAAAGGGAGATGGGAGGAGAGGGAAGATGGGAGGAGAGAGAAGATGGAAGAGAGAGAAGATGGGAGGAGAGAGAAGATGGGAGAGATGGGAGGAGAGAGAAAATGGAGGAGAGAAGATGGGGAGGAGAGGGAAGATGGAGGAGAGGGAAGATGGGAGGAGAGGGAAGATGGGAGGAGGAGATGGGAAGATGGCAGGAGAGGGAAGATGGGAGGAGAGGAAGATGGGAGGAGAGAGAAGATGGAGGAGAGAGAAGATGGGAGGAGAGAGGAAGATGGGAGGAGAGATGGATGGGAGGAGAGAAGATGGGAGGAGAGAAAAGATGGGAGGAGAGGGAAGATGAGAGAGGAAGATGGGAGGAGAGGGAAGATGGGAGGGGAAGATGGGAGAAGAAGGAGGAAGATGGGAGGAGAGGAAGATGGGAGGAGAGAAGGAGAGGATGGGAGAGAGAGAGATGGGAGGAGAGAGAAGATGAGAGAAGATGGGAGGAGAGGGAAGATGGAGGAGAGAGATGGGAGGAGAGAGAGAAGATGGAGGGAGAGAAGATGGGAGGAGAGAGAAGATGGAGGAGAGAAAAGATGGGAGGAGAGGGAAGATGGGAGAGAGATGGGAGGAGAGAGAAGATGGGAGGAGAGAGAAGATGGGAGGAGAGGGAAGATGGGAGGAGAGGGAAGATGGGAGGAGAGAGAAGATGGGAGGAGAGAGAAGATGGGAGGAGAGAGAAGATGGGAGGGAGAGGGAAGATGGGAGGAGAGGGAAGATGGGAGGAGAGAGAAGATGGGAGGAGAGAGAAGAGAGGCAGGGAGGGAAGAGAAAGAGAGAGAAAACATGCAAGTCAATGATTCAAGAAGAAGAATAGGGAGTAAAAGCTTAAGATAGACAAAGAAACAAGAACAAAGGAAGAAGGTGATAAAGGAAACAGTAAAGACTTATAAAAAATAAAGAAGAGTTCATAAGATACAGAGAGAAAATAACAAAGAAAATGCGATTATGTGAGACGAAAATATTATTTGTTAGGAAAAGTAAAAAAAAAAAAAAGACTATAAAAGTAAAAGTCCCACCAAAAGGCAAAATTACGTTAAAATAGATAGTAAAGGTGAGAAAAGACAGGGAATAAACAGAAGGAATAAAGAGAGGGAATAAACAGAGGGAATAAACAAGACTGTGTGCGCCAGGTATCATGACAACATTAACCATCCGCTATACTCTCATGTTGTTTTTGTTTACGTCCTCAAGGCGGACTTGGTAATGCCTTGATACTCGATAAGGTGGTTTAAAAGCCAGGCTATTTGGTGCTGTAAATGACTTATAAATGACTTGATGTTTTTATTATTTTTTTAAGCTCTTTTACAAATGTGTTATAATTTTTCTTACTGTTATTTTTTTATGAAGTTTAGTGTTTTTTTTTTACAGATTTATATTTGCTTTGCTGTAATATAATTTTGTTGTTGTTTAGAATTGTTTTTGCTGTTTACAATGGATTTGCTTTTATTTTTTACAAGGGGTTTCTAGATTTACTCTTTACAATTATTTTGGTAATCACTGTAGCTGAATAAATTTGTTTACACTTGGTGAATAGGGAACTGTAAATACCCCGTTGCTTTCACTGTAGTTGAGTACCTATTATTTTATTTATTTTTACACTTGTATCACTGACCAGGAATATAGAAAATATCACAACCATATTTTTTTTTACATTCATCAAACTTTTTCAATGTATTTCTTTCCTGTTAATGGTGATGTCTGAGTGTTTGTAAGACCTTCCCTTGATATAGAGAGAAGGAGTAGGGCGAAAAATATACCAGATATACAACGTAGCAGTCTCAGTATAAGCAATGTGTATTATGTATGTATGTTGTGTAGTAGTGTGTATTAAGATGGGTAGGTAATAAAATGGTGGAGAAGGTATGGGTACAAGGGGAGGTTGGGGGCCATGTAGGGGATGTATGTTGTATTATGTGTATGTTGTGTTATGTGTATGATGTGTATGGTGCATGTTGCGTTGTATTAATGATGTATTTTATGTATGGTGTATGGTAATGATAGGAGAATTTTACATAAGTTTAGATTGTGTCAGTTATTTCTCGCCCACCTTAATTACTCTCAGGTGACAGACAGCACAGGTAAGGTAGTTTTAGTTGAGGGGTTTCTCTCGGTTAATTGATCTGGGGCCAAACTCTTAACAAATCGTACGTCAGTTTTTATTCCCTTTAACAAGAGATAAGGGAACGCATATCAATCCAATTTTAACGCCATCTGTGTTTCGTAGTTTAAGTGAGACAGATACTTTCTCTTCTCTCTATGTAGGTGGGAGATTTAACGTAAGAATCTCTGATAATTCATCTTTGTGTCACAGCTTAAGTGAGCCGCAGAATTAAAGGCGTTATCATCTCGCTAGTTAGAGGGAAAAATTAACGCAGGATCTCTTTATTAACAACGTGGGTCTAGTGTACTCTACATGACCTGACACTGAGGCACAACGAGGAAAGTACAGGTTGTTTGGTAACTAAGATAGACGCTGCCTTGTCCTCGTCACTACTGTGGGCAATTTCATTTGCCATCTACTGTATACTGTATATAGATGTGTTGCGCCAGAAGAGGAAATGTTTACAAAACAATTAAAACAGTTCGTGACGACGAGAGAACTCAACGTACCTCGTCACTTGGTGAAATATACTAATATGTATTATGAAACATTAGAAAACTTGGTACTGCATAGGAGGATATTAACATGATATTATGCAATGCGGATAATATGGTAAGATTGCCAGAAAAATATATATTTATTATATAGATATCCATCACGGTATACGTAACACTATCAGTCTTATTTATGTGTCACCATATTATAGAGCATAACTTTCGTCCCCAGCTGCTGTAAGTGACCAACTGGGTTATATTGTGAAAATATTGCACATTAGGTCTGGGGACGAGAACATGCCATCACCGCATCGAGTCTTAAAACATCGAGATATAAACCTTTCACAGTCAGGAAAAAATAATCACATTACCCACACTGTAGTTAAGATACAAGTCCAGCAGTTTTTCCTGACGTGTGTCAAGGCGCGAGTGAGTTGTACAAGCGAAGGGTCAGTATGAAGGCTACAGCATCAAGTGATAATTCCCTGAGCAAGAAGAGTGATGACAACCAACACCGTGACGTCGCCAAGCGGGGTCCTGGTGCCCTGCCGTGCCTGTGTCTCCTTCCTGCTGTACCCTTGCCCCGAGGCGCCCCTTTCCTCGCCCCTGCCCCGAGGCACCCCTCTCCCCGCCCCTGACCCGAGAGCCCCTGTCCCGCCCCTCCCAACACGGCACTGCTATTGACCCATTCCTCAGGTTGCTCCTACTGTCTCCTTCATCACACGGGGTGCACTGTACTGCCCGCTCCTCCCTCTGGGGGCTCGTGCTACTTCTACTCTCACATGGGGCGCCCTTACTGCCCCACCCCTTCCTCAAGGCATTCTTGTTGCCCTCCCCCCACAAGACACAGGACACACAGCACCCAGGACACAAGAAGAGATGTTGCAAAAGTATCATGGAGTCACACAGTTATATAATCACATATTACTATGGTATTTGGTGGCCCAGGTCATGAAGGTCCCCGCCTCACTAGGGAGGGAGGGAGGCCGGGTCTGGTACGGGGCGGGGTGCCTGCCGGGGGCCGCGCAGCCCGCCGTGCGGGCGTGCTAAGTGGGCGCTGCCTGGGATTACGGACGCCTCCCCACGGACTGGTGGGCGCCTGACACTAGGAGGGCCGGGGTCGTGCCCGGCCTGACCACGCGACTACCAGGTATGATAAGAGGAACCCTGAGAACGTTTGGCAAACCCGGCACCAGAGCCGCGCTGGGTGGCCGCCCGGCTCGTTGCCCTGGACGCCGCCCTAGCCTGCCACCGCTCACGGCCAGGGCTCAGGTTAAAGCTCTGGAGGGCACTGAGGCCCAGGCCGTGCCCTTATGAGGGGCTCTGGGTGGTGGCGGGTAGCGCCTGCGCCTTGGACTTGGTGACAGTGGTGGGGACCTGCAGTGGCTGGGAGGTGCCACTCCCGCCACTCACAGACCCTGGTGACTCCGGCTTGGTAGTGACAATGCCGCTGCCGCCGCTGCTGCTACTGCCACTGCTGCCACCGGAAGTGCCACCCGTGCTGCCGCTGTTGTTGGCTGTGGAGTCGGAGTCGTTGCTGTTCTCGCTCGGGGTGGAGACGGCAGGAGGGTCTGGGGCGATAAGACCCTCCTTCATCCGCTTCTTCTGCTTCATGCGGCGGTTCTGGAACCATATTTTAACTTGTGTCTCGTTGAGCTGGAGCGCCGAGGCGATCTCGATACGTCTGGCGCGGGTGAGGTACTTGTTGAAGTGGAACTCCTTCTCCAGCTCCGTCAACTGCTTGGTTGTGAAGTTGGTCCGCCCCGTCCCGCCGCCGAACCCGCCGTAGTCCGTCTTGGGCGCTGTAATGGATAAATAGATAAGTGAATGACAACATCAAGTTGATTAGTTGTGTGTAATCTTGCTTATGGGTTCTTATTATATGTAATGTAAAATATGAAGTAAAGGAAGTTAACTACAGGGTGTTAATTCAAGAGCGAAACATTATAAAACTTGGAAAAACCTACAGCAAGTCACTACAGGTATTTCAGTCACTCAACTTACCAAACTCATTTACAAATCCCAGAATGAAAACTTAATTTCATTTTTACGGAAAAGACGGCAGACATAACTCATTATTAGTGTAGTAGTTGTTGAAGAAGGCAAGAGATAATGATAGGTCGGAGGTGAAGCAGGAAAGGACTCGGAAGACGGAAGACTGGTAGTGTGGAGGGGGTGGGGGGTGTAGGGGGAGGTCCTCAAATCTGCCGTTGTGGGGTGGTTGCGGGTGTTGAAGGGTCGTGGTGGGTGGAAGGTTGAGTGGTCGTTGGGGGTTGGGTTGAAGGAGTTTTGATGGTGGGGTGGGTGGGTTGTGGGGGGCCGTAGTGGTGGTGGGAGTGTTTGAGGGACTCTTGGTGGTGTTGGGGTGATAGATTAAGAAGGAGGGGGGTGGGGGGGGGTCGTAGTAGTAGTGGCGGTGGTAGCGGTGATTGTGGGAAAGAAGAAAAGTTGAAAAGGACACACCGCCCACCACGACAAAAGGATCTCCAACAACCGTAGCCCCGAAATGAAACCAACTTCACCCCCGCGAGTCATTGAGGTCATTTAAATGAGATACTTAAACAAGAATCCTTGAGAAATACAAGAATTATACTGATGATCATGGAGGAAGAGCGCGGCATCCATCTCCTCCGCCCGGCTCTGCTCGACTTGCCTAACAATAAGACTGTTTAATCTTGAGTGTGTTTCGCGCTCTCCACCAGCCAGTGTAACCGATATGTGTTTGTCTCTTTTGTGTTGCTCGTTTGTTAAACTCATTCTCTGTTTGGGTTGGCTTCACGGTGCGGGCCCCGGTGTGAGCACCCGAGGCCCCCACCGCCTGCCCCACTATTTTCATAGTACTTTGCACGTTGGAGGAGCGCCCACTGGACCATTATTTTTTTTTTCTCTATATCTCTCAGTCTGTGTTTGTAACTTTCTTTATCTGTCTCTGTCTGTCTGTCTGTCTGTCTGTCTGTCTGTCTGTCTGTCTGTCTGTCTGTCACCTTCACCAGCTGCGTTTTATCTACACGATGAACACTGAAAAAATTCCCCCATGGTGTAATATATTTATGGAATTCCGTATTTTTTTCCTTCGGCAATAAACAAACACCATAATGAAATAAATCACGAGAAGAGAAACGAAAAGAAAGAAAAAAAATCCCCTCCGCCCCGACAATAGACTGTGAGTGTGATTCCATCCAAACATTGTAATTACACGGCTTAGAGAATTGACAGAGAAAGGAAAACAATGAAGACAAAAGGTGCTCAGCAGGGGTGAATCTTTATACAGTGACTGGACACTCACACACACACACACTCACACACACACACACACACACACACACACACACACACACAGAACCGACCAAACTGTCCCAGGAACTCTCGATTCTCAAGTTGCTGATGCTGTTATTACATTCACTGTTACACCTTCCTACTGTTACACCCACTCGGTGTTACACCCTCCAACTGTTACACCCACTCGCTGTTACACCCTCCCGCTGTTACACCCACTCGCTGTTACATCCTCCCGCTGTTACACCCACTCGCTGTTACACCCTCCTACTGTTACACCCACTCGCTGTTACATCCTCCCGCTGTTACTCCCACTCGCTGTTACACCCTCCACAAAGGCAAAGACCCTCTGTTACACTGTTCTAGTGGGGGATGGGAGAACAGAGACACTAGTGATATATTCTTTTAAGTTAATACAGCCGAGGAGATGAAGCTAATTCACAACATAGCCGAGGAGATGAAGCTAATTCACAACATAGCCGAGGAGATGAAGCTAATTCACAACATAGCCGAGGAGATGAAGCTAATTCACAACATAGCCGAGGAGATGAAGCTAATTCACAACATAGCCGAGGAGATGAAGCTAATTCACAACATAGCTGAGGAGATGAAGCTAATTCACAACACAGCTGAGGAGATGAAGCTAATTCACGAAAGCCGAAGAAATAAATACAAACTCAAAGGAAAATAGAAAAATGAACGTAAGCGAAAGAAAAAAAGGCGTAATAACAAAATCTCACGTTCACTGTTAACATAATCCCAGCAGAGATCAAAGAAAGTTCAGCTTAAGTATAATCCCAGCAGCAACAACATCTCCAAACACTTCTGCCGTGACCCTGAAGCTGTCGTGTTACCGCTGTGAGTTAGAAGCAAGAGAGAGAATTAAAAACTCGCATTCAAAATAAAGTGTTTTCTTGGCTGACGCTGCAACACCCATAAGAGTGTTTGTATGATGTGAACTAAACAAAAATCCAGAGTCCCTTGAGTACGATGACTTCATTCCCTTGCAATGAGTCCCTTGAACACGATAACTTAACCCCTTGATTAAGATGAATTAACTCCTTTTATGGCTCACTTGAACATTAGACACCACAGCTTTATTCACTTGAAGATTAACCACTTAGCTCTAACCTAAATTAAACCTAACCTAATGTTAAAGCCTAACCTAACCTAACCTAACCTCCTCAGTTTATCTTCAGGTGAAATAAACTGAGGTTTCTAATCCATATCTATTATTTTTTCTTTTAGTTTCGGCCATAATATATCTCTCAATAGACTGCATGTAAACTACGCTTATTCCTGTTTTTTCCAACTACTCTCACGCTGGACGTCAACACGAGCTACACAAATGAACCAAAACTACGTTCAAGCTGTCCCTGAGGTTGTGCTGGCGACCCTCACACTGCCTCCCCCTAAGGGCTGGCTGGCGGGTAATCTGGGACCTGCTTCGTCTGTCACTCTGAGAGCCCTTGACTCCGAGCCCCCGCACCAAGAACTGAGAGAGGATGTCGCTAGGGTGAGGGGAGGGAGGGAATGAGGGGAAGAGGAGAGACCCAGGTTGACGAGGGCAGTGGAAGAGGGGAGGAGAGAGAGAGAGAGAGAGAGAGAGAGAGAGAGGTAAGAATGGCGTCTGGCAAACATCCACAAGGAAGATAGGAAACACGATAAACAAATAGAAGTAAACAGGGTGGCAAAGAGTAAAGATAAAACTAATAAAAGTAAGAATAATACAAATGAAAACTTGGATAAGAAAATAGAAGGAATAAATAGCATGGAAAGAAAATCCCCCGCTAATGAGAAAATAATCGTAAGAATTTAGACAATGAAGAAGAAAAAAAAAATAGCGTTTTTACTTCCCTTCTAATACGTCTGTTTGTTTGTCTGTCAACGAAAGATACAACAAAGGTACATAATTTTTAAAGTAACTACAGTAAGTCACTTAACTACTAATTATTATTATTATTATTATTATTATTATTATTATTATTATTATTATTGTGAAGTTTATTTATTTAAACTGGGTGTATCTATGTATAGTTTCGAATCGGTGCCACAATATACACTTTAGGAGTTTAGTGGCTTTTGCGTTTGAATTGAAACACTTGTAGAGAATGGGAAATAACTCACTCACTCACTCACATATATACAGAAGCCAGAGAGAGAGGTGGTCGGGGGGTGGTCGTTAATTCTGATATTTATGAACTCAAATTGGCTTAATTCTTAAATTCGCCTCTTTGTTTTTTTTCTCTCTATCAATGAGGATGGAGGAGTTACTGTGATGAGTGAAGGTCTTCCTCCTGTTGCTGTCGTAAGCTTAGTCCCTCGGTAATGGTGTTCGTTTGTTTACTTAATGGAAATTTCGATGATTTTTGTTGTTGTTGAGGATTTTTTTTTATAATTAGGTTTTACACATATATATATTTTTTTACCTGGTCACTTGAAGATTAGTCCCACCCAACTTATGTCACCATAAGATTATTGCTACTAATGCTAACCTTACCTAACCTAACCTAACCTAACCTGACCTAACCTAACATAACCTAACCTAACCTAACCTAACCTAACCTAACCTAACCACACCACAATATCTCCCTTTAAATCAAATAACACAGAGTTAGCGTATCTTTAGTGGAATTCTTGATGCTGTAACGTGAGAGGGGGGGGGGAGGTGGCTGATATGTGTGTAGTCTGATTATCTCTCCTGTTTTGCTTCACGTAGTCTGAGTGTGTCTCATGTTTGTCTTCACGTACTCTAAATGCATCTCCTGTTTTTTTCACGTAGTCTGAACGTAACGTAGTCTGAGTGTCTCTCCTGTTAGTCTTCACGAAATCTGAGTGTTTCTCCTGTTTGTCTTCGCGTAGTCTGAGTGTGTCTCCTGTTAGTCTTCACGTAGTCTGAGTGTCTCTCCTGTTTGCCTTCACGTAGTCTGAGTGTCTCCTGTTTTTTCCACGTATTCTGAGTGTCTTTCCTGTTTGTCTTCACGCACTCTGAATTCATTCCTGTTTGTTTTTACTTAGTCTGAGTGTGTCTCCTGTTTGTCTTCACTTGCCTTCATTATCACTGGCTGACGCGTGGCGACCGACCTTACAAAACCTGATCCTAAAGATGTGACTAGTGGGCCTCAAATATCCTCATAGGCTTCGCGTGTGTGTGTGTGTGTATGTGTCCCTGAAACGCTCTATTACGTGACAGGGAGTTTCATTTATGATGATGTTGTGGTACTGAGATTATTGTTTGATAAGAGTAATGGATAATGAGAGAGAGAGAGAGAGAGAGAGAGAGAGAGAGAGAGTGCATGATTAGATCCGGTTTGTGTATTGACCTACACACACACACACACACACACACACACACACACACACACACACACACACGTGTCACTGTATTGAGCTGTTGCAGTATGACGGTCGTGGAACCTTCAATTAAGTCAACAACACGACCCTCCGCCCCCTCCACGACAAGGTCTGGCCTCTCTTCCTGTCTCTTTCATCGTCTCGGTGTTCTGGGAAGTGTCCAGCGCTCACA